AGTTGTCTTCCTCAAAAGCACATGCAGGAAAAGAGAAAGACGAGACAGTCCTCCTGTCCTTATGTCAGTCCTTGTAGATGCATTATCATCTTACAGAGTAACTGTGTTAGGTTCAGAGCTTCCAGATTTCCCTGCAGGAGCTCCTTCTTTAGCGCTAGTTCTGCAAGTATCTACTTACAATAGTGGAATGAATCATTTAAAAAATGATGATGTGTCAAATTCCACATAAACTGGATTTTTTACTAGTGCTTCCAGGGGAAACAACCTACAAGTTGTCAGGAAGATTAGATCTGCTGTGATAAAAGAACTACCTTTCTGGGTGATCTCTTTCTTTACCCAGTTTGCATCATCTCCTTTCATACTAAGTGGCTAAGAAGAATTCTAGGCAGAGATGGAAACTATGAAATACGATTTCTGTGCCTGCTGTCTTCAGAGTCACAGCACAGGTGCTTCCCGCACAGCTATTTACAATTCTAATATGGAATTTTAAATAATTCTAGAGAAAAAAAAAAGTCACCTTTGCTCTATACTCCATTGGTCTTTCTGACAAGATTTTTCTGACTCTTCTTGCTTTTAGAGAAAATTAAAACCCATTTACAAACAGAATTTGAGAGGTTGACACTGTTAGCAATTCTGATGTCTCTTGTCCATTCTCCAGTGCTGCACAAGAGGCTGTTTGCCCTGGTGCCGTGCTGGAAAGATGTACGGTGCATAGCTAGTCTTGTGGAGGAGATGTACTAGCTCAGGTTTTAGCTGATGTTGGAAGCTTCATGTTGCATTTTTAGTTACTGGAGGCCAGCTAAGAGGAGACAGAGGCATGAAGTCACTGTTTACCAGCTTATTATGGACACCCTTATTCAATCCAGAAATATAATGAATGCATTACTAATGGGAACTGCTCTGTGAAAACTGGTGTTTGTAGTGAATCTAGATGTCCTCCCATGCTAGGATCGTACTGCATAATTATTATATACCTACAAAGTCTTGAGAATGTTTAGGGTTTTTTTACCATCTAAGAACAGAACTTTGTCTTGTTTATATTCTCAATTTTCTTAAATTACTTAAATTCCTCTCTTCCAAGCACTCGGCAATTTAGATAAAAGTAGCAGGATCAGACATTGTGGCAATGTGGAACTGCATTTCCTACATTTTCTGGGCTGTGAGTCTATGGAAACTTCACTTACGGAATTCCTCAAGTAGTAAATAAATAATGGAGGAGTAATTTCTCATGGGTGTATTCCTCCAGGAAGGCTGCTGACTTTTTTAGTATATAAATGAGTAGGTCAAAAAATAGAGAGGAATAAAAGTCTAAATTTGTACAAACCTCAAAGGTAGGCTGTAAATGAAAATGATATACTGTAAGTGTGCATCTGCATTTAGTCTAGCTGTAAGTCTAACAGTAACACTTAAACTTACGAAGAGTACCTAATAGAATATTGAAAGCACCAGGGTAAAGAGAAATGTTCTCCGACTGCCTTTTTCCTTACTTCCACAAGGCAAAACAAAAATAAATGAGGTCCTGGAGGACAGTGAATGAAATTTGCCAGCTCTGGAGAAATTAACATCTGCTTCTCCCAGGCATTCAGAATGACTGGCTTGAGAGATGCTAGAGAGCAATACATTTTTCAAAGTGCCAAAGAACATTTAAGGAAATTGAACATTTGAGGAAATTAAACATTTAAGGAAAAAGTAGGTAAGAAATTTTAAGACATCATAGCCTCAATGGCTTCTGTTCAAGTGGAAGTATTAATTCTCTTTTCTTTTCAGCTGGTGGTGTCCCGAAGCACTTCAGAAATTTTTATCTCTCCTTATTAAAAAGAAAAAACCACAAGCTGTTTACTCAGGTTGCTCAGACTAATCCATGGGACTAGGATCTGCAGAGTTCCTTTTTGTACTTACTCAGTGAAGTGCTTCAGCAGCCAGTTGCGGGGATGTTAGGGTGAGGATCTGTGTCCGTGAAAGGAGCAATAGCACCAAAGACCTGTACACTTACTTACAGACAGGACAACCTCCTGCAGGAATATCCACAAAAGACTATTGTGGGCTACGCAGACAACCGTATCATGAAACTGGAGGTAGACAAAGAAATTTTGTATGACACGGAAATAATTCCATTTTCCCCTTTGTCTCAGCTTGACTATCCTGAATTTCAAAATACAAATTACTATAAAAAGAAAATGGAGCATTTATGGTACTGCCTGAGATTCGCTGGCCACCTGAAACTTTGACTCGGTGTCCTGGCAGTATGGCAGGTTCAAAGCAAAGCTTTGCCCATGGGATTTATGTAGACATTTTCAGCAGGCCTACAGGAAACAGATTTGTCACCAGAGAATTAAACTCCTCTGTCCTAAATTTCAGGTTTCTACTGTGTGCTGAGGCTGAAAAATGGGCTTGAGAATAATCTGTGTATTTCTTCCACTTAGATCCAGTTTTGCTCTAAATTTACCTGCAAATGATACAAAAAATATTTCAACTTCAGCCTGAAATGTAAGAGAAGAAAGTGTCGGCATTAGGAAAAGTTCTCTAACCATAAATCTCGGTTTAGGTTGTGTGACCTCGCTGGGCCCACTAGCGTACGTCGGGCTGATGGCCTCAGGTGCAGAGACAGGAGGCAGCCGTTCCCTGGGGATCGCTCGGTGGGGCCACCGGACCCCCTGTCATCTGCCGCCAGGGACGGCGACCGGCCCTGGCC